TATAGAATCATTAATTACGTATACAAACCTTATAAAAAACGTATCATTTCCTTATTTCGATTTCTTATAGGGTAAAGGCCAAGTTAGTCATGACAGAAATCAAAGTTTCCTCTAAATTCTTGAATTGTGATTTGATAAAAGCCTTAAAGTCATCATCATTGTTGGCGTGCATCGATCCACCCACTTTAGTTCCTTTATATACTGTGCCATTAGGTGTGGGGCAAATAGTATTATCAAAGAGGATTTCTTCATTTATGTTCAGTGGGACATCATCGGACTATGAACCAGATTGTGGATTTCGTTTGATTTTAGAAGGTAAAGAAGGTTTGTTGCGATCGCTGTTTTTGTTGGGAATGTTGTTATTATTATTATTTCTCAGTGGGGTAACTTGTTGGTTGTTGTTCGTGGTGGGTGGTAGTTTAGTAACATGGGCAAAGGTAATGTCCGGGTTAACTACGCCTCTCATTTTTTTTAGGGAAGCCTTGTAATTGGAATACTGTGCAGGTTGGAATCTTTGATAAAGATTCTGCATATTTCGGTCAGATGGACTTTTCCTTCTTCGTGAATAATCATTCGCTTTGTGATTAGGTGATGAGCAAATGGCACAAAGTTTGACCTTTGCTTCAGTCTAAGTCACGTGTTTGCCATCTATAGTAAGATTATCGTTTGAAATTGCAGTCTCAAAATCGTCTGCAGTGGCAAAGTAGAAAAATGTGTGTTGTAAATTTTGGTAGTTGGACCGGGCCTTGGGGATAACCCAGGTAGTAGCATCAGCCATCTTTCCAATTTCCTCGAGTTGTTTACCTGTCGTGAACCTAGGAAGGCCGGCAAGTTTTACTGAAAATTTTGAACGTGCTAGAATTTCTGCACGAGATTGATCACACATGTGGACTCTGACCATGTCATTAAGTACGAAAAGGATGTAACAATTCTTTAGTTCCATGAAATTAGCGTCTTCAGCGAAGGTAATGGTAGCCTATTGCCACATATTCTTTGTTTCCATTGTGAAACAGACGATCATTCTGAATCTGGCGAATTTCATTCTAATCCTGTATTCCGTAAAATCCAGAGGAATTTCAGTCATCTTGATCGATCTTGCAGGAATATACGGTTGTGCTTGTATAACATCGAGGGGTAAGAATGTGCAGTTTTCTAAATTGGGTAACGGAACTGAACACGCATGATCTCATTCTTCTTGGTTATGAAAGGAAATTTTTAGGATGCATTATGATTGGTCCTTCAGATGTTTGGCTAATGTCGCACCTGAGAACGAATCATATTTGTCGAATAGCATATCGACAACAGAAGAGACTTTTTGCTGCAGCGACATTCCTAGAAATTCTTCGAGGGGAAAATATCCATGGAAAGAAGGTTTTTGGCGCTTAAAAGCTTGTACTGAGGACGTATTTTTGTCCAAGAAGTTCTCTGATGCGTCGAAAATAGCATTTACGTCGAGAGTGGTGGTGGTATTTCTGGGGTCTCATTTAAAGTTTCTTTCTCCTTGCCTTTTTTCGAAGGCGAAGGGTCGACATCCATTGATACTACTGGTTCTAGAGCCTCAGTAGTCTGTTGAGTTGGTAGAACTTCCACAGTTTGCGTTGTATTTTGTTTTTTGCTTTTTGCATAGTTAACAGTGAAGACGAACGTTCTCGTTGTTTTTGTTTTTGCTCGCTATTTTTTTGGGCATTTTGGGATCAACAGGAGATAGTTTTTTTTGTATCGCCTTATTAATTGATTAGACTCAATATTATTTTTAGTGCAATTTTTTATTAGCCAAGTATGTTTATTGTAGCGTAACATTTTTTTGATCATCAATTACTCAAAATCAATTTATAGTCTCAGAACCCACTTTTAATAGATCAGCTTCCATATAGTTAAACACATTGATCAATACCAAAACAATAATCATCATGTATTTTCGCATTAATTTATGTTGATAATCAATAGTGACGATGATTTACATATTTTTCAATTGACTTTTCAACAGTTGTAAATAATTCTCATCAATTTACATGTTTTTCAATTGGCTTTTCAACGGTTGTAAATAAATTTTCGTTGATTTATGCATTTTCCAATTGGCTTTTTAATATTATAAATAAACTCTAGTTGATTTACGTATTTTCCAATTAGCTTTTCAATATTATAAATAATAATACGGATTTATTGTAAATATATAAAAATATTAACTACTTGTATACTAAAAAATAAAATAATTTATATAATATTCGTTATTTTTATCATAATGTGAAACAATGTGAACTAATTCAATAATTGATTCAACAGGAATAAAATCGTAAATATTAACTAATTTTACTAAAGGACAGTCATGTTTAAACCTTCTATTTTCATCATTATAACGAAAATTGTACCATTGTACAAGCGCAACATTAAATGTAGAATATTCTTTAATTTTCATATTAACTAACATTAATACCTGATAGGAATAACATATTCAGTTAATATGATATAGTAAAATGATAACAATTTACTTTGGTTAACAATAATTAATATATCTTGCTAAAATAGACACCTTGATCTGTATGATAATCATCAATTTCTTCTTCACTCATGTTAATAGAAATATTACTGAATTCAGAATTATAATAATACCTGTTACTAGCACGTATGTAATCACCACTTGAGGCTGCTGTAGTGTAACTATACCAATGAATAATCATATTACTTACTATCATTTTTTCAGTCAAATATTCGAAAAGATCAAAAAATTTATTAAGTGTCAGCAAGAATTGTTCAAATGCAAGCAACGTTTCAGGTGCTAGATGATTATTTGTTTATTTATATAGTGTAGTAAATTGGTTGAATTCACTTAATGGAAAAGTTGTGATCAAACTATTCATTGGTGATTTTTGTTGATGTTTATTAGAATTAGACAACTTGTTTTGTATTAAGTATTTAATAATAGAATTACGTTGAACCTATATTTGTAAATTATAAATTGTAAATATTAGTGATAAATATAAAAATCATTTATCATAAAAATTAAAAAGACTTACATTTTGAATTATCTGTATTATTGCCTGGCATTTATTACTTGAACAATATGGATTTTTGACAGCAGTTTTATGTAAATATTTGTATGTCTCTGTAATAAATCTGTTAATAACATTAAATTCAGAAATTGCCGGAATTACATGATAACACCAGTTGTGTAATTTTAAGAGTTGTAAACTCAAACGTGAATATTCTTTGAATAGTTTAACAAATAATTTTGCCAATTTCTTAATTAAATCCTATTATAAAATATAATAATCGGTAAATAATAATAATTGCATATTCATTAATAATAAAAAAATTGTATATTTATAAGTTAAATACCTCAAATTTAATCAACATCTTCTCAGAAAATTTTTCCTGATGACTATAAATATACATTTGATTTCAATAAACATAAACATTCATCAAGTCTTCATCAATTTTTCTTTTATTTAATAATGATGAACTACAATGTTTTATAAAAAGCCTATCCATAATGAATACTAATACTTTTATCATATTTCGGAATTTATCAGCAGTGAATCTTTTTATATTTTCAAGACCATACTTAAATATTTTCAACCCAGAAAACCTAGGTATTTCAGAAAGTCTTTTATAAAACTCATCTACAGCTATTTGTCCACATAGATTTTTTAATAAATCTCACGTATAAGTCACTTGATAATTAAACAAACCCAAATCATAATTGAGCATTCTATCAGGAACGATTGCTGTATAAATATTAAGTTTACTATCATAATAGAATTACATATTATTAGTTAATGAATGTATTAACAAATTAATAATCATATTTTAAAAAAGTAAACTTACGGATATTTTCAGAATATGTTTTCTGTTTCATGTAATGAGAACTCTTTTGCATCACCATCTGTTATAATCTTTTGCATATTCTGTGGTATTCTAATGTAAATATCTTCAATCTTTAAATCTATATTATTAAGATCATCGACTGACACTACACAAATACTATAAGGACAATTACAATTTATCGAATTGTACTGTATGTTAATGTTATAGATGCTTATTCAGGAATATCTCCAATTATCTGAGATATGAACAGAAAGCACCACAGATTATCGCCATTTGGAGTAATAATTTTCATTCCACAATCTTTATAATCAAATAATATGTTGATTATTATTTCAAATGAATTTTGATAAATAATTCGTTTAGCTAATAGATATGATTTTTTTTTCATAATTAGTTTTTGCTTTAATTTTTGGCAAATATCCTATAACAACTTTCGCATCAGGTTTATTATGACGTCAGTTAGGGATATTACCAAGTGTCAAGTAAAATGGGATGTTCGCTTGATTTTCCTAGAAAATCACATGTGGTAGCGTCAGAATAAAAGATAATAGATAACACCTTTCCATTATTAGGTAGAAAGTTATGAGCTTTACTCCACCAATTTCCATTATATTGTTCACCATAAATCCGTTCTTCTTCATTATTATTATACAACGGCATGTAATCAAATATACATAATTCAAATAATTTCTTATTTGCTAATAATTCTTTTACACCATCAAGTATCGGACGATGAAATAAATAATATGTTTCATCATTATATATCATCACATTTGTTTTTTGAAACTCTAGATGAGGCATTTTCATATTGTCTACAATCTTATATCCTTGCTTGATTGATGTCAGTAATATCACATCATCTTGACAAATTCTTTTTGCAAATTTTAGGATTTCATTACCAACTGATTCTGAAAATCCTCACTTAATTATTATATTCATAAATCACTGAATTTCTGGCTTGAGAAACTTCGTTTATTATTCGCAATATCTTGAAGATTAAGAACAAATGATGGATTATCATTTGTAACATCTATTTCCAACGAATATACAAAATTCTAGTAAAACAATACAAATATTAATATATAATATATTCATATTATCATAATTAAAATAACAAATAATAAGTAAGATAAATTATTAACCTCATTATATTTATCATCATTAATAATATCTGTACCAAGAATTTCGTCACTATCATCATTACTAATATTAATATTATCCTCATATTCTTGATTACTGATATCTTCAATAATATCTTCAATAATAGGTGAATGTTTAACTGGTGAATATTGAACTTTTTCTTTACTTTTTTTAATTCTTCAGAAGTAATACACATCTGTTCATCTATATGATCAGTTGCATGTGTTTTGATATGGTTACAAAGCGATGCACGCTTTGAGAATATTCTTGTACATTCATTGCACATAAACATTATATTATTGGGATGAATAAGTAATTAATTGACTAAATAGAATGATAGTAATTTGATTTAAATGAAATAATTGTAGTAAAGTTGACTTAAATAAATAATTCGTTATTAATAAATTAATTATTAATAAAAGGAATTTTCTTGAATATTTTTAAGAGAAAAATAAACTGTTGGTATTCAATTGATAATTGATTCAATTCACCCGCCATTGAATTTAGTTGATAATAAACTATAAATAAACTTTGGTCATCAATTATTATAAAAATTATAAAAAGATATATTTTTTTGAGAAAATTAATTAAGTCATCTTTTCTTTTTTTCTTTGTTTATTGTCATGAAAAAAATAAAAAAAATAATTCTTCAATTAACGTAACCGATTTAAATTCTTTGACACGTCCAAAATCAAGACGTACGATAACTGATGTTAACAAGGTATAATTTCTTTTGTTTTTTAAAATATTAATATTAATTAATATACGAAGTTTATTTTAATTTAATATAAACTAATGACAGAGATGATAGTAATCGTTTTAACTTACAATATAAAGATAAGGAAAGAGGACGTTCTCGCAGCCTAACATCAGAAGAAATAAATAATTCTTGCAGCCCAACATATGAAGAAAGGAGTCATTCCTGCAGACCAACATACGAAGAAAGGAGCTATTCTCACAGTCTAACATTTGAAGCAGAAGAATTAGTTCTCGTTTATCAGAGAATGAAGAAATTAATCTAATCAGATCATCATCAAAGTGAAATCGTAATGATCATTCTTGCTATTCAGTAAGAATCCCAAAAAAATAATGTTATTGTTCTCGTTGATAATTCAGAGAAGCGAGTATATACTAATTTTAATTTTCAACATGATATATTTTTGTTGTAATTTTGTTAAAATTTTTGTCTTATTTTTTATCACTTAGCCATCTAAAATCAATAAAATATCTTCCTTAAAAGTAGTGTCTGGTAATAACAATTATATAAAGTAAAGTATATTGTTTGTTTGTATATTAACTATATCACAGACATATTTTCACTTTCTTATAATTATCATAGTCGACAATAATTTCTTAGGTGCATTAATGAATAAACAAGACATAATTATTTGTAATCAAAAAGATATTATGAATAATATTAACGACATTAAAAAAAAGCTTGACAATCATGATAAAGAACTTGAACTATTAACTCATAACAATGCTGAAACAGTGAAAACTATTCCTAATAAAAGAAAGCAAAAGACGGATTTGCTGTAAGTATTCGAAACTGTGTTAATATTTATATTTGGTAATACATATAATACATGTACATATATAATACGTTATATATTTGCTATTTGTTTGGTAGGATGAAGTCAACTCTGTAGCACAAGACGTTTTTAACAACCATGTCAAGCTGACGATAACCAATTGAAAATTTAATGTATAAAAAGATTAATGAGAAGGACGATACTAGAGAATTATTAAATACTCTTGAAATAAAAAATATTACCTTCGATAATCTATAGAGTGATAAACTTCATTCAGCAGTAATACTTTTTAATACTAATAAATAATTATGATAAATTTTATTAATATTTCATTATAACACAATTATTTGTAGCTTTTAGCCGCAATTCATTCAAAGCGTAGATATTATGTTCGATAAGTAAAAATTGCATTATAGGGTTCGTTTGGTATTAATCAATTACAACCATTTAAAGAAAAATGGAGAAAAGACGAGATAAAAAATTGGAAGAATAATAGTAAAATAAGAATTGCATACAATGAACTATATAATCACATTGATTCACAAGATCAAGAATCTGATACATACATTGCAAAGTTCATTAAGAAAATGTTTGCAAGAAATGATCGAACTGAATTGAACGCTTTATGGATACAAGCAGTTCTAGAAATAATTTTCGATCCTGAATATTTGTCAACGAAATTAGATACAAAGGCGGTTGATAAACGTTTTGAGATGTTGAAAAATGAGAAAGAAGCATAATTATAAAATAAAAAGTAACAAATTATTAATTATTTTTAATGATAATTATTACCTTTGATTAATAAATTTGTTTATTATTTAATGGAATTTTTATATTATGTCAATGACATAAAGAAACTACAGTAATGAATATTAATATGTAAAAAAATCACGTAAATATATTTTTTTTTTGATATATGTAATTTTTTGTTTATATTGATATTAGCATTAGTATCATAGTTATATTGCAGTAAGTGGAATACCACCATGTGATATAATTATATCACATGGTAGTATTCCACTTACCCTAGATTATATCACCACCATATAATCTAAATACCACTATATAATCTGAATATTACTATATGATCTAAATATCACCATATAATCTGAATATCACCATATGATCTAAATATCACCATATAATCTAAATATCACCATATAATCTGAATATCACCATATGATCTAAATATCACCATATAATCTAACTACCATCATATAATCTAAAAGATACAATCTAACTACCACCATATAATCTGAATAATATAATCTAATTATCACCATTTAATCTA